ACCGATTCCGGCTGCTCGAAAATCTCTTTCAACATGAACGAATCGTAGTTGCCTTTCATAATTTGCTGAATCTCCATTTTCAGTGTCGTAATTTCCCGAGCATGAGGATCATCTAAGCATTTCTTTACTCTATGAATACTTAACGCACCATCTTTAACTGCTGCCACATCGTCGTCCTCGAGATAGATTACGCGGTCAGTATGTTCAATTATCGCACTGGCATCTGATGCGAAAAAATATTCGACTTCTTTGCTTTCCAAAGGTTGGTACTCGGCTGGCGTATCGTCGAAACGGGGGGGCAACGATATTTCCGCTGGCAGTGCTTTTCCATAGGCTCGCTTCTTCTTTGCGTACAATATTGGAATGTGATCAGTGGATAAACGTGTTTTAGACTTAATGCCCACCAATAGCGGCGTACCTCGTCGTGAGGCTACACATTCTCCAGGAAAATGCTTTGATTTACAAGCAATTGCAAATGCGCCTTCAAATTGGAGAATGACTTGTTCGAAAAGCTCGCGAAACGAGTAAGTTGGATGTTGTCGCCACAAATGATGAATCAATTTAGCGATTACCTCAGTATCAGTTTCCGACTCGAAAACATAGCCACGCTTCTCCAGTAGGGTTTTCACATCTTTGTAATTTGTAATAATGCCATTGTGTACGACCACAAAACTGTTATCCTCATCGGAACGTTGAGGATGAGAATTAGTTTCAGAAGGTGGCCCATGCGTAGCCCAACGTGTGTGCGCAATACCGACATGAGTTGTGATAGGTACTTTGTATGCTTCGCTATTGCACACTTCCGCTATTGCATCTTCTAAGACTTTAACCTTGCCTGTGCGCCGTACAATTATAATATTTCCCTGATCACTTGCTTCGGGGTCATCAATAGCCAAACCAGTCGAGTCATAGCCACGGTACTCCAATCTTTTAAGACCATTTAATAGTAGTTCTAGTATTTCCTGTCTCGACCGGGAAGTTAAGTAGTTGATATACGCGAATATGCCACACATTGCGAGTAGATTCCTAAGCGAAATACGTACGTGCACTTAAACTTTCGTATTCTAGCTGCTGTGTAAACAAATTGTAGACTGCCACGTACACCACAATGCTTTAAAAACTTTCTCGGCTATTATATGGTAACAACAACGAAGTTATTTATCACAATACGCGAAATATGTTGTTTGTTCGATATCCAGTGCTTTGTTGAATGTGTTAACTTTTAAAAGATGTGATTAATGGAACTTTTTCCTCAGCAATTTATATACATAAATACATACATACATACAATCTGAGTACTTCTGCTACTGAATTATTCTGCAAGATATTGTGAGATAAGATAAGAGTTCATTTCCGCTGAATCCAAAGTTATCTTTGCTGGCCGTCTTTCGTAAAATAAATGCCACTGGCACTTTCAGAACATTTGTTTACACTTATTTCATTGCGCCACCCACCATTTTCGTTGGGGTTCATGCTTCATAACGATTGACAGTGTTACCGAGGTTAAATTACGAAAAGTAATTGCAATAAATGGCTTAAAATTATGAAGAAAAAAAGAAAAAAGATTCAAATTTTATATCGGGTGTCCTTATAAGAAATTCAATTAAAAATGGGAAATCAAGAATGATGACAGTTGCGAATGTTTATAGACCTATTTATAGACCTTCCCGATTCCGCCCATCTTCCCTTAAACTCGTAATAGCCTCGTAAAGCTCGTAAACTTACGAGCCTCGTAAAAGAGCAGTCAAAATTTGTATGGAGCTCTATTTACGAGCCCCTCGAGAGTTTACGACGCAAATTTGATGCGCAAACGACCTCGTAAACTTCAGTGTTTCCGAGGGACCGAAATTTTTATATTAAAATGTATGACAAAATAATGAAAATAAATTTAAAAATAATACGCGAATAAAATTAATAAATTTCATCCACTAACAGTATTGACCTAGGTTTTCTGCTAATTTTCAGCATTTTTAATTGTATTTTAGCCAAGAGTGATAGAGACAAGATGGCGGGATCATACGAAGGGGCTGCTAAATTGTTGATAAATGTCTCATAGGACAACATTTTACTAACGAAAATCGTTCCTAACTCAAAAATAAAAATTAAATGATTTATTTTGGAACGAATTTCCGTCATCCCTAGTCAAGTTTGGTTTGCAGACAAACCAGTTTCGGCATTGTGCCATCTTCAGTGCCATTTTTCGTTCGTCCAACACCAACACAAAAATTAAATCATTTAATAATTTCGTAAATTATTAACATTCTCCGAGATATCGTTGCATTTTTGAGAAATTGCATTCCAAACTTCAATTGCGATTTCCCATAACCTGCCGAAAGTAGCACACGACAATCTTTTATCGAGGCAACGCTTCATAGTCCACTGTCTAAGTATCTGTTATACCTAAACAAAAGTGATGGGCATTAATTCCGAAGTGCCATAACTAAACAAACGCTGCGTGAAATGCAGAAAATCATAAATAAGCATAGATTTGTTTGTGTGAAATACGAAGCTGCTGTTGCCTCAAAAAGGAAACAACACCTCATCTAGCAAACACCACAAATGGTATTTCTGGGTTAAATTTATGCTTTTCTTTCATTTTACAGGCGATTTCTCGGAAATTTTTGCAACTTTTATCTAAAAAGAGAATTACATTATAAAACCGAATGCATAGTCTGACTGCACCATTACTGCAACCTAAACCTTACTGCCGTTCCTAAATTGGAGCGGGTTACGTTTTTAACGTCAAGAGTGCCAGCTCGCGGTTTACCAAAAATATAGCGTGGCGTAATTTTTGATGTTTTCTCTTTTCCTCCTAAACTGTCCGCCAACGCAATATCAACACGTAACGCCCTGTCCAAAATGAATATTCCATTGGCGTGGCGCTGGCGCTGCGTTAGGCTTTCGGCATATTTATCGTCCAATCATAGTCGCGCAAATCGTTAAAGATGTACAAAAGATTGGCACGAAATTGCCGATTAAGAATCGTTGTGTACGCATCGTTTGTTTACATTTTGTTGGGTAACTGAATGAATTGGTGAATAATTGCATAAAATATACGTAAAAATTAAGATTTCATGTGTAAAATGTGTGGAATTTTACCATACACAACACACTAGGTCTGCGCATCAGCGAACAAAATCAAAATTTTTGGATAATACATAGGGCCTGTGCCAATCAGTAGAAAAGTTCTATGGTGGAAAACTTTTTACTATGGTGAGAAAATTTTACATTTCTGCTGTGCCAATTCGTAACTTTTTACTGCTGGAAAATTTTGACAGTTGCTTTCATGCAGAAGAAGGCTATCGGGTTANATGTGGCCACAGCTTATGCACATTCGCTCCCTATCCGCTAAAGTACTGTTGAATTTTCTCAGGGATTTAGGTCTAGAGGAGGTATTGTTAAGAGTGGAGGGCACAATAGACCACTAGATCGCGATGCAAACATAATTCTATTATCTATCTCTCAATCTAAAATTTAGGTTCTAAATCATATATTTTTTAAAATTTAAAGCAATTAAAACACGTTTCCTATCTAAAAATCTAGTATTAATAGAATTTACTAATCTTACAGGTTCTTTTATCCTCCTATTCGCCTTTGCTTGCTTTTAATTGAAAAATGTCATCGACGCCGGGAATGCACAACCTTGTAACCTTGACGCGCCAATTTGGGTCGGCAGTTAATTTTTAAGCTTGTATTAAAGAATAGATTGGAAAATTATCAGATTTTTTTCTAAGTGTAGACTATAGAACAGTATGCCTTTAAAAATATCTACGGCGCTGAATTAGAAGCTGCAACGCCAACCCAAAATCATAATTTTAATATAACACAGTAAAAAACATAAATTAATATTAATCTATTTAATAAGATTCACTATTTAAAATTTTGGGAAAATTCGCAAACTTCCTAACAACACTGTCAGTTTGCATGCACATGTTCGATAGAACGGCGTTTTACCCCTTTCGGGGAAAATGACAGTAATGCCATCTTTCTTTTTCGAAGTTTCTATCAACGGCGTCGGCCACATGTTCGCTCGGGAGACGAGATTTTTCGCGAAATACCATTGAAATATGGTGAAAAGTGTTGTGAAATCATACAAAGGTGCAAAATAAACTTATCAGTGATATTGTACAATTCAATTGAACCCAAAATTTGCAATAGGTTGCAAGAAATCTTGATAAAACAAAATTTTCAAATACGCAAAAAGAGTACGTTTTTCTCGTCTCTCTTTACAACTTTTTTCTTGGTCTTCGAATTGTCAGATTTCGTCGTGTATTGCGCTCGTTTCGTCAGCCCTTCGTGCGATTTCAGTTTTCACGAATTCGGGTCGTGTGTGTAGAAAATTGTGCGCAAAGCAAACACCACAATAAAGAAGTTGCAAGAGAAGGAAACAACAAAAACGTGTGTGTGCCGCGAGTTTTATTTTGGACTACTTGTGTTCGCGATCCGACGCTGTAAGTAATTCTAAATTGTGCATTCAAGCCCTTTTAAGGGTAGTTGAGATTGGTTAATCCACATGAAACTATATAGTATTTACTGATAAAAACTATCTAAAATATTTTTCGTAAGTGATGGGGTTTCTCTATACTCAGCTCACAGCTGCAGAGATGCATTTAAATGCAGTATTGCATAATATGAGGTTAGAGGTTATGGATATAATCAAATTGCACAATGTATAATTCTTGCATTAATTAGGATGTATTATAAAACATATAAGACCATGATTAAAACAGAATCATGATTTTTTATCATGTATAAGACTGTATACATATTGCCTTCAAAAACTGTATACGTTTGCATATTCATGGATATGTAAATATTGGCTTCAAAAATATTTACACTAGTTTGTTGTCCCATAGAAGCCAACCAATTGTATTTGAGATAAACAGTAAATCGATAATACTTCTAAATGCAACCCTGTGTGGTAAATAGAAAATGTCAGTTCATTGTATTCCTTTCGCTTTCGTTTCATTTATAGTTTGACAGTGTGTACCAAACCTAACCCCACTTTTGACCATATTTTCATACAGTCTGACGTCCGTTGGAATATTACGCGAAATTTCTTAAAATTTTCTATTATTTTTTCACCGAAAAATTAGTAGAAAGCGTTAAATGCCAGTTTCGGTAATACTAAAATTATAAAATTTCGTTGCTGTCGACTTGCTGTGGAAATTCAGTTCATAAAATTTCGTTTCGCTAAGGATCCTCAATTTTAACTCGAAAGGATATGATGTCATTTGCAAAGATTGTGTATAAATTGTCTATTGTTTAATACTAGTGAATTTACATTGTTTTCTGTATATAAACAACAGTGAAGAATCCACAGTGAATTTATACATACGAAATGCGGTCGTCCATATAGATTTCGCAATTAATTGTGCGGGTATTTGCGAAGGCCATAAGCAGTTCCTTTGACATTGTTGTTTCATCAGAATACTTGATTTAGACTAGGTAGTCTTGGTTAGCCGTTGTCCTACACAAGTGTGTATGTCGTTCCCATATTTGCAGAAATAGCTTAATCTCATAGTAAACATTTCCGTTCTCTTTTTCAGTATCTACGCATTTGTTTGAACGTTTGTCTTTTTGATTGGGCAAGGAAGCAGAAAAGAGTTTCCATAACGTCTCAAAATTTCTGGAGTTAGTAACGTAACTGACGTTACCTATACTCCGGAGGCACACAATAAACACACTTAAAAGCTAACATGTCAGCAGCTAAGGAGGAAACTTCAAAACCGAGCGCCACCACCGCCACTCCAACGGTGGTCAGCTCAGCTAGCCAACCGGTAGCAGCAGCTACTACATCCTACGCTAATGTTTTGCAAAATTTGGAAACTAAGAAAGGTGCCATTGCCAAAAGTGGATCCGTTGACGTGGCAGTTGTTGATACTGACAATAAAGAAAACCAACCGAATCTAAAAACAATCAAGTCATGGAGTGAAGAGGCTGCTGCAGCTGAAGGAGCCACCGACGGAATTGCCACTGCTATTGCTGAAACTGGTGCTACTGTGGCTGGTGAAAAGCGGGCTGCTATCACTGATGCTGGTGCGGAAAATTCTTCAGAAATCGATGATAATAATGATTTTGTACCAGTGATTTCACATCACCGACGTGATCGCAAGAAACCACGTAAGGACAAACCATTCGGTCGTGAACGTCAGGGTGGAAATGGCAATGAAAAGCTTGCTGCCGGGGGGAATGTTTCTCGTGCCGGTGGCGGCAATGGCGTTGGTGGTGAAGGCGGAAAAAATAAACGCGTAACTGGAGCAGGTGATAAAGATGGTGATAAAAAGTTTACATCACGTCCACGTCAACGCGCCGGTAGCCCACGCAAGGGCGGTGCTGTTGGTGGAGCGCTCAAGTCACCAAAAGATCGTAAAGACACCTCGCCGAGTGCAAGTGCTGAGAATACTAGTAGCGGCAATGAAGCCAAAAGTAGTGATGCCGAATCGTCGGCAGCTGCCAGCGCAACAGCTGCGCCACCACAACCGAAAAAGTACGTTGCTGCACCCCCACCGAAGGTCAATGCTTGGAAGGTAAGTGCGAATAAAAGTAATTTTTGTGTTTAAATTTTTGTATGTCTTCGACACATTGCTGCTTGGAAGAAGCATATTGGCCTATTTCCAATACCTGATAAAGAATGAATCTACAAGTTTATGTGGAGTACTAAAATTGAGCTGTTGAAATGTAAAATAGTTGCATATATACAAATACTTTCCTATTTACATATTATACTTTCCTATGTACATATTATACTTTGCTATGTACATATTATCTATAATTATAAATACTAGCCTGTAGGTAGTTATATTGAAATCAGAAGAAGTTTAACTTCCTAAGGCTAGAGTTATAACTGCGCATTAAATTTTGTGAAATTGTACCAAACTATAAAAAACTATCTATGTATGTACATACAAACATATGTATGTATGTATATGAAAAAAAAGTAAACAAATGTGCGTAGAATGGAGCAAATAGCAAAAATACATAGACAGCAAAGCACTGAAAGCGAAAAGTTAAACATAATGCTGTAGTTGGTGGTTGCTGCGCATTGGAGTAATTATTATAAGTATTAATTATTTGTTGATTAGAAAGGTCCGAATGTTCTATTTTTTGGGGTTTGTTTAATACTTTTGAATTTTCTGCTTGGGCCTCTAAAATTGTACTCTCAATTACGTGCACTTTTCTGAGCACCCACGGAGTGCTATGTTTTTTAAAGTTCTTTTCACGAAACTGGGTAAGCGGTTGTTTTTATGACATCATAAAACATAGGGAAGGGAGTTTCGCTGAGTGCTGCTGGAGTGGCAGTACTGGTTCAAATATAAATCTAGGTACCGTTCCGGTTACCAAGGCTGCAGAGTGAAATGAACGATAAGCGGTCTCAGATTAGGGTAGGTCAAGTTGATCAGTTGTAATTTGTATTAAGAAATGTTAAACAATAGAAAAGGCGTATGAAGTAAAAACCTCCATGAAAGCAATTATTAGAATTGTTAAAAGCTTCAGAACTGGTTAACGCGAAATCAAGTTAAAGAAAAAACCATAATATAAATGACATTATTTATTGAAACCGAAAGTTCAAACCAGTAAAGCAACAAGCGATAATTAATTTAATTTAGAACAACAAGGAATTATGCAATACTCGATCAACGGTGCGGTTAAGCTTTTTGAGTGTGGGGTAGAGGTGTCAAAGCTTATAGGCTGGTAGCCAGATCTGTATATAAATCAAAACAGGGCTGGTGGAAGTTCTTTACAGTATTATTCTTTCATATTAGTTTTAAAATTTCACTACTTGCAGTATGTATTCAACTGAATGAAAGTTCATTGTAAATTATGATTGGGAAATGGTCCATCGAAAATAACAAAAATATGTTAATGTCAAGGCCAACATTTTTTAGTGTGATTAAACACTGTATAAAATATAATCCATGAAGCGTATTAAGAGCACGGAAACAAAAGACAAAGTGAAAACTTACAAAATTATACACATTAAAAAAAAGACATCTTCGCGTATCGTATATGTATAAATAAACCTCACGTACATACTACATACTTATGTACGTGTAAACATAGAACAGATGGACGCATCTCTGTCTTGCTCTTCTTCGACATTAAAACACACTCGGATGATTTGATAAAATTATAGCTGTTTCGTTTATTTTTAGTGTTCTTTTTATTTTGTTTTATTCTTTACTAAAAATAAGAAAAGGTTCGTGGCGCAAGTAAAGAGGAGACAACATTTTAAAACAGTTTTAGGTAATTGAGCGTCATTTGCATAAATACAGCAACGGCGAACTAATTAAGAAAGATTAAAATAAAAGTTAAGAAGTCTATAGATAAAGACAAAGAGGAAGGTAAATTTACACGGAAATGAATTGCAGAACCAACCTGACAATGACAAAGGTGGGGGGTGAATATGTAGATGAAGAAAAGAATTAAGATAGAAGAGATCGGGATAAATGTAAAGGAAAAGATAAAAATGAAACTATAAATGAAATTATTAATATATAGATAAACATAAAGGTAAAACTAAGGATAAATAAAATTATAGTTTAAAAAACTAAAACCTAAACCTAAGTAAAAGCTCAGCTCAATTCAGCCTCACTAGTTTTATAAATAACTTATTCTATATTTCTTATTCTTTATTTATTTAGTCAATCTATGAATAATATCTGTGTTCGTATGGAAAAGTAGCTTATATCGAAAGGCTGACTTTAATATAAAGCGGCATTTGCAGTATACGATTGCGAATGACTCGCTGGCGCTGAGCCGTTGAACAACTTTTGGCAAATAAACGTGCAAGAAATAGTTCCGATATTAGAAAGTCAATATTCTTATTAAGTCTCATCAAAAAATTCCTTTTCGTGTAAAGAATAAAAGGAATGCCGCATTATACTAAAGCCAACCTTTCGACATAAGCTACTTTTCCATGCGAACACAGATATATCTTAACAGATTAAGAGAAAAAAGGTATTTAAATGCATACATTAAATTGTATTTAGAATATTTACAAAAGATGACTTTCCAGCAGCAAATTTAGGTAGGCCTTCTTAAGTGAAGCCATTCTAAGAGGCCTACCCAAGAAGGCCTGAAAAGGTGCTTACTTGCATGCCTTCTAGAAGGGCTTATACATTTACAATGTACGCGAATGCATAAATTTATATTATTTAGCATTACAAATGAATTTCAATAAATATGGCCTTAAGGAAATACTTCAAAGATGTATAATTTCTATAAATTAAAGAAGAAACTTTAAAAGTACTCCTCCAAAAGGCCTTCTGAAGTACGTGCTATAAAAGCCTTTCCGAAAGGCGTTCTAAGGGTAGCGAAAGAAGAAGCCCTTCAATTTGTGCAACTCCATATAAAAAAAAGGAGAAGGGAATGTAGCGCGGAAGAACACTTGACTCTCAGGAAGGCTTTTTGGAAGGGCTTTTAACTTGTGAAATTATCTACTGGGTTGTCAGTGAAAAATCAAGTTCCACATAATAAGAGATTAAGTTGAATTGAATAATTAATTATGTAGTTTAAAAATGGAACATTGAAGAGCTGTAGCTGAGACATAAGAGACAAAATTAGTATATTCTTACGTCAGGATGAAAAGAAAACATTTTAAGATAACCAAGAACATAAATAAGATGTTTTTCAGTGCCTATATTTCGGTTCTACCTTACCGGTTGCTCAGGGCTGGCATCGAGTCAAGCCCTGGACCAGAAACCTATACCTGCTGCACAGCACATGTTAACGGCATAAACCCTCAGATAATTCGTGGCCTGAATCGATACCGCCTCTTAGGGAAAACATTCTTAGCAGCTTTGGATCTGTCAAAGCCGTTTGACACCGGCTGCCACTCCACGCTACTAGAAGCCATTGAAGCTTGCTCTTCCGTAGGCACTCAAACGGTGGTGGCTAAGCGTACGATAGATGTCGTAATATTACGTTGTGAAAAACATTCTCTTCTTCTTCTTATTTGGCGCTGTAACCGCCTAAGCGATTTTGGCCGAGTCCAAAACAGCACGCCAGTCATTTCTCTTCTGTGCTAACTGACGCCAATTGAAAATGCCAAGTGAAGCCAAGTCCTTCTCCACCTGGTCTTTCCAACGCAGAGGAGGCCTTCCTCTTCCTCTGTTCAATTTAAGCTGTTTCGCATTTTGTTTTACTTCGTATTTAAAATTAAACTTTGAAATAAAGATAAATATGAAGATGAAGAAACAAGTGATAACGATGAAGACAAAAAAAGGCAAAAGTGAAGATAAAGACGAAAATTGAGATAAAGGCGAAAATGGAGACAATGAGAAACACATAAGAATTAGGTTAACAGAGTTGAAATTTTCCGATAGGAATCGAAATAAAATCAGCCATTAAGGGTACTGAAATTTATCGAATCATCGAAGTTTATAATTATCGAAATTTATCCATGCTTATTAAGTTATCGCAACGTATCGAATTTGTCAAGTTAAAGAAATGTATCAAGTTATCGATATTTATTGAATTATCATTATTTATGGACTTAGCGAAATTTATCGAGGATGTCGTAATGCATGGAGTTCTTTCAACTTACAGAGTTATCGATAATTATTGATCTACTGAAATTGGTTGGTTCAACGAAGCGAAGTTAATGGAATTTTCCAAATATATCGATTTATCGAAATTTCAAGGTTATATAAGCTTATCGATTTATCACTGCTTATCGAATTTGATCGTCTTAACAGAGTGTAACGAGTTATCAAAATGTTTAGATAGTTTTCGAAAAATGTGGAGATGTCAAAATGTAAAAATGTATAAAGGTATCCAAAGTTTTTACATTTTTGAGTTATCGAAATTTATCGAGCCCTCGAATTTCACAGTTATCGAGATTGGTCGAGTTAACGAATTTTGTTGAGCTATCGAATTTTAGTGTTCCTGAAATATTTATCGATAAACTTGAATGTATCGGGTCAATTCCAAGTCCTGCCGAAGCCCTCCAAAGACCTTCCCAGATAAAAAAAAATGTAGTTACGTTTTAGCATAAGATTTTCCGGTTAGTTAATTTGTACCGTATAAGTTTTGCTACGTGTTAAGTTAGAAAACCTCTCCAAGGCTTCTAAAACTAGAAAAACTGTCGAATTTCTACAGTAACTGGCACTCTAGTATTCATAAATAGTTCTACACGGTCATAAATATTACGGTGCCGTCAAATTAAGTTACGCTGTTTAATGCAGCCATCTTAGCTGGCACCTGGTAATATTCACATTGCAATGTTTTACACTTTTATAACCTACTGAATGGTAGCAGCGCTGAAAGTAGTGAGGAAGACGAACCCGAGTCCCCAGTCGATGATGATGGAATAGCTGTCCCACCGCCTGACTATGACGA